ATATTTTTAATTAAATTTATCCAATTTTCTATAGAAGATATAATTGTTTCAGTTTTATATTTAGATTAAATATGAATCACTATAAAAATGTATTAATTGTTATAACAGGATATTAATATATTCGTGGAATATTTTTGAAGGATCAATTCTAGAAGTCAAAAAAAAAGATAAAAATGTTGATTAAAGTTTATTTATTAAATTATGTTGTTATTTATTAAATTGAAAGTTTAAATGAAATGAAATGGAAAGAAAGTCAAACCACTTTTTCCATTACACTACTGTTTTTATCTCTATCTTATTTCATTTAATATAAATTTAAACTGCTTATAACTTAATAAATAAATTTCAAATTTTTATTTACCGATTTTTATTTGTTGTTTGTTTCTTTAGAATCGGTTTTTCAAAAATGTTTTACGAATATATTAATACTCTAATATAAAAATTATATATTAATTAATTATAATCTGCATTACCTCTTTACTTGTCAGATATCTGGCATTTACATAATATGTATGTATTTTAGAGCTGTCAGTGTATTTGTACACAAGTTTAATTGTGATATATTTAATAATTGCATTCTTTATTTTGATACAACAATTTAAATAAATGATGCTTCAGATAAATATTTTATAATTGAGTCAGTGTTATATGTAATTCTGTCATAAATGTATTATTAAAGTTAACAAAGTGCTCTATACTTTATAATAATTTTAAGTTGAAATAGTTATATATTAATCAAATTATAAGATCAAAAACAAAAAATAATGGTATTAAGTTAATATCAAATTATAGAAAATATTATCAATTGATTATAAATGCATTTTAATAAGTTTATAAAAATTTACAATTTTGTTTTTGAAATTTCTATGCTTATTTTTTTTCAAGTTGTTTCATTGTAATTATTCTGCATTTGCACAATGTTTTAAATATTATAAAAATATATATAAGTTTGTGTTTCAGTAATTAACAAATTATCAAATAAGATAATTATGATATAATATATTTTAATTTTGTACAATTATAAATGCACTTGTGCACAAAATAATTTCATCAAATATATTGATGCAGATAAATAGAGGCGGTAAATCACTATTCATGATTGAATATATTAAAATTTTAAAAATACAACTTATACTGCCACAGTAATTATCAATCATTGAATTGGTGATTATTTACAATTATATGTACATATCTGCATGTCGTAAGATAATATATAATTAAAATATGAAAGCTAAATATTTTTAGCTGTACTTATGTAAAAGAAACTATTATTTATAATTGTAAAAATACTGAAATATCTTTGGTTCTCTAAAATTATCTTAACAAAATTTTTTTACTCATACAATTATTTTTATATATGCATTTATTGTGCTAATGACATGGAATATTCATTCTCAAAATACATATTTTGCACATTCTTTTGTTACTTAAAAAATGTACTATAACACTTTGAATACCAGTTTAACAATCTTATTCACATTAAATGAATTGATTAATTACATGGCATTCAATGTGTTAAACAATTAAATGATGTAAGTTACTTATTTTGTTTGTATGTTAATGATTAATGCCATGATCAATGACAATGTATTTTTTTACAGAAAATGTAAAAATTGAAAAAAAGCGTTATATTCTTATAAGCAAAATACTTTTTTAAATTATATCTTATATTATTACTGATGTATTTAACTAAATAATTTGCGCTTTTTGTAAAAATTTAAATGCTAAGCATAAACATTAGTTTTTTGAAACATGTTTATATTATTATATATCCTGAAAGATTTTAGGATTTTTTTTTTTTACATATAATATAATATAAAAATAGTAAAATGGTTTTTATTTGAAATAAAAAGATTTCTTATTGATTTCTTATTATTTCTTAAAATAAATTTGTTTTTTAATAATAAATTTTAGTAAATTTTATCAATAATTTATGTAATAATATTCCATAATATATATACTATACACATAAATTAAATATAGAACAAACTTATTATCTTATTCTATATTTCATTTTAGAAAATACGGATTATATATATAAATTGGAGATTTCAGTATTTCTCTTTTAATTAAAAATAGTAAATTTTGATTCTAATAATATGAATTAATAAATGTTTTATTATATTATAATACAATCTTATAATTATTACTTATTTTATGGCTGATAATAATTTTATTAATTGAAGAGATAATTTAAAAAAATTATTTGAGAGTATATTTTATTATATATTAAAATTAATTAAAGAATATGTTATAAAAAGTTTTCATTAAAAAAATTGTTTAGTACATATTAAAATTATTAAATATTTTAGAATTATTATTTTAGATTTTAAGTTTATTATTTTAGGATTAAGTTATTTAAATTTAAATTTTTTAATTGTATTCCAGATATGTGCAATATTTATTTGTACATTAAGAATACAAAATATGTTGAAATTTTTATTTGAGCAATTTGTTTTTTATATTGAATTCAGTCTGTAAAATTGTCTGTATAATTTATGAACATTAAATATAAAAAGTAGTGGAAACATCAAATAGTAGAATAATAATAGGAATAAAAGTAAAACTCAATCAATAATATAATAATTAATAATAACATTAAAAAATCTATTTTTATGCTTTCAAAAAATTTTTTAATTTTTAAGAGTAATAATTAATTTTTAAATTAAACTTCAAACTCTAAAACAATTTGATTAATTTTGTATAAATATTCCTTTTCGTTCAGTATAAGCACTTATCAAAACAATATAATTTATTACAATATATTGAAGTACTAACGATGAATAGTAGAAAATAATCTAAAATTTATAACTTAAATAAAATTTTTTAATAATAAAAGCTGTATAGAATGTCAATATATTCATAAAATACCTCATAGAAGATCGATTTTGGAGATGAAAACATAAAAGTTAATATATAAAAATAACAATTAATATTTATTTATTAAATGAAATAGCAATGTAATAATACCAACCATGTTTTCAATATCAACCATAATGTAAATAATTTAAATTTAATAAATAGATACGGATGCGAATGTTTATGTGAAATAAAATTTTTATGAACACGAAAAAAGAAATGAAGCTTAAATTGAGATTTGTTTTATTCTTCAAATATTATATTTTAATTGAAAAATATTTTTATCATTCATGTATATTTTGTAGATTTTTATATTATTTTGTATAATATCTGTGAACATCTGCAATCTTTTATATATATATCTTTCTATAATATAATAAGTGCAATAAATATAATAAATAAACCTCAATGAATTTTTGTGTTTGTCTTCATTTCTAGAATCGATTTTTTAGAAATATCTCGATATATTAAATAATAATATATTTTTTAATTTTTTAAATTTCAATTTAAATCAATTTAAATCAATTAAAATTTAAATTCTTAGAAATAATTTAATATTACTTATTTAATTTATCCAGATTATTTTTCTCATTGAAAAATTTCATAAATTTGATTAAAAATGTACTTTAAACTCAGATAAATATATATGGAATATACTTAATATTTTAATTTTTATATTAATTATAATAATATTTAATTTATGCAAAAATATTAATATTAATTAAAATTATTAATATTATTAAGTATTATAATTATTATTTTACTTCTACAATTTCAAACAATATAATATAAATATATTAAACAATTTTTATAGTATTGAAATATATATGTACATTCAACGATTGCAAATTTTAACAAAAATAAAAATATATGAATTATTATTATAGAAAATTAATTAAAATTGATTAACACGAAATAAAAATTTTTAATTTAATAATAATTTTGGTATAATTTAACCATAATATTTTCTGTTATGTAATATTAGTACATAAGTATTAAAAGAACAATAAGTTTTAATTAAATGATATTTAATTAATAAATTATAAATAATTGTATCATCATTATATCAATGAAATATAAAATAATTATTTTATAATAATAAATCATTAATACAATATTAAAAATTATAATATTCAAATACTTAATTTATGCAAAAATATTAATTTAGAATTTTAATCATCTTCGCTATTATTAATACAATTGCTTATCACAAAAATTACAATTATGAGTAGAGAGATGTCATCACAAATATAGTTCAATATATTTGTTTCAAATTTGTACAAAATATTCTCCTATTTACAATTAAATGATGTTTCAATATTTATGAATTGTATGTTTTGAATCATAGACAAAAAGACAGAATAAATTTAATATTCAATGCATTTTTTTGTAATTATTTTAACAAAATATTTTTAAAAATCAGAAAATATATTATTTATAATTTATTTTAGAATTAATATTTATTTGGATTATAATAATTTATAGTTTATAAATTAATCTCATTATAAAAATTAATATATTATAGACTAAATTTTCAAAAATAAAATTATATTTTTTCAAATATTTAAAAATCATTTGATATGAAGTGATACAAATTAAAAAATAATTAAATAAAATATAATAATATAAATATATATTTTTTAAATCTATTATAAATTTCACTAAAAATAATTTATGAATTAATATTTTATTTAAAATTTTTATTAAAACTATGTATCATGTTCTTCTTATATTTGATAATAGTTAGTGTTTAAATAGTTAATTGTATATTTAAATATTTTTATACTTAATAAGATTACAAATAATGAAGAAATAAATTCAATAAAAAATAATATATATAGTATATATTTAAGATTAATCATTTTATTATTTTTAAAATTGTGCAATGATCATGGAATATTTACAAATGAAAATGATATATCTTATTTTTTATCATATATATGTATATATATATATATATATATATATATATATATGTATGTATATACAATATATAAGAAAAAAAATTTTTATATTTGTAAATTATATTTATAATATTTTACAATCTTTTGCTGTTATATAACAGCTGTTATATATGTATGAGTTAATATGATTCTTTTAATATTGAGGCACTTAACATATAATTAACAATATAAGTCAAATAAAATTTATAAATATTATTTAAATATTTAAGTTAATAATAAGTTTTATACAAATATTAGAATAATTATATTATAACAAAGAAGATAGTTTATCAAACAGAGACGAGATCGTCTTTATCACTCATCTGAGCTGATAAACTAAACGCTGTATCTGTGCTAGCTTCACTATTTAAACTTTCATTAAATACTGGTTTCATATGTGCAGCATCACTCATCTCTCTCATTAATCCTGCCATGTCATCATCTGGATCAATCTCTTGAATTTCACCTACTACATCAATTTCTATAGACTGATTATCTATTGCTGATATTTCCTGTGTTTCAGGTTTTGATTCTTTAAACTAATAATTATAATAAAAATAAAATTAATATTGCATCATATTGTTTTGTAGAATTTATAGAAAATGTATTTTTAAAATCTTACTTTCATAGTTTCCAATTTACATTCAGATGGTAAATTCATATGAAATACACAATTTGTATCAAAAATCACTGGTACTGGCTCATGACATTCTATATCTGCTCGAATTGCACCACATGCTTTAAACAAAACTTGATGTTGATCCTATTAAGATGATAAAATTTGTTCAATTTTTATTTATATGATATGATATTATTGAATAAATATATTACTTTAAGAATATGTTTGCGACAATGTTTTGCAGCAGGAAGGGTTTTTTCTCCACATTTTACTCCACCTTCTGTAAAAATACATTTTGATATACTTGGTATTTTTTGTGTAGGACCTACAGTTGCCTATAACAAAAATATATAATTTTTAGTATTACTATATAATATGCTATATGATATTATTTATTATATAAAATCATAAAATTTATATTTTACTTGTGCTCTACGTTCTAAAGATTTTCTATATAGTATAGCTTCAACTCCACTACGTCTATGATAACGATTTAAGGCTTTCAATTTTTCATAAATTTTTTTTTCTTTTGCAGTTTCTTTTGGTTGATCATATATACTACATAATGTTTCCTTTTCCTTTTTAAGTGCATGTAAATATTTTCTTCTTTTCTCTCTTAATATGTATTGTAATCTTCTAAATTGATCTATATAAAGTGATTGTAATCTAATTAGTTTTTCTCGTGCAATATAGATCACTTCCTCAGCAGTAAAAATTCCAGCATGCCTTAAAAAATTAATACTAATTATTCAATAGAAATTACTGTTTCATTTTTGCAAAAAGCAACTACAAAATAGATATAAGTAAAAATACAAATAATTGAAATTTCATTTTTAAAATTTGCTCAAGCCAAAGCAAGCTAGCTGATATTCTACAGAAAAAACAAATTAATAAAATTTTGATATACACATATATAATTGTAAGTATTCATACATAAGAATATTCTTACTTTAAAGGATCTTCTTGTGCACTGTATAAACTTTCATTATCACTATCATCAAGATAACTTCCTCTTAAAGTATCATTCACTGTCGTAGGTTCAACATCACTATCAGAGGAACTTGCATAATCCAAAATATCACGTCCACTTGCATTTACTTTATATGCATCAACTTCAGCTAAAAAAAAATTTTTTATATAAAGTTTTTACAAAAATTTTAATTTATTTATAAGAATAAAAGAATATTTAATCAAAACTTACTAAAAGGATCTAATGCTTTGACTTTTCCTTCTTCATCTTCAGTATCTTCAGTACTTGAATCTGTTTTTTTAACATAGTGGCTTAAATTAAGTAAAAGCATTTCAAGTATCTGTAATAAAGAATATCTAGCTCTTGACTTTATACAAACTATTTAGATTTTTTAAGTTCAGTTATAATATCTAAAATTCAATATAATATTTAAAAAAATTTTTATATATAATAAAAAAATATATAATATATATGAAATTCATTAAATTTGGATTTAGTATATACAAAATATCTTTTTTGTCCAATTTCAATGTTAGATTTTAGTATTTTTTAACATTATAATGTAATCTTGAATTTGATGAAGAATTCAAGTAATTAACTGACAGAATAAATTATATTGAGAAATATCTACTTCATATTAGCATTTTGTAATTTTAAGTATCTATTATTAATAATTTATCTATCATTAATAATTTATTATTAATAATAATATTAATAAGTCATTATTAATAAATTAAAAAAAATAAAGAAATATTATTAATATATTAAATATATATGTGAGAAATATCTAAAAAAATGTGAAATATAAAATACGAAAGAATTACAAGCTGCGATTATAATATCGTAGTAATCTAACGAATGAATACATATCGAATACAAAATAATATCGAGAAATTAACAGAGTATCTCATCAATAAATATAAATTCTATATAAATATATGAATAATATATAAATAAAATCCTATTATATTTTCAATTATTATAGTTATTAGATAGATAAAAACTCTGATATTATATTTTCAATATATTTTCAAATATTCAAAAAATTATATATCAAATAAATAAAAATTATGAAATATTAATTTTTCATAATATTTTGAAAAATATCAAAAAATTACATTTTGTAAATTACTTTTTTAATAAAATTAAAAGTTACAATGTATATAATTATTTTATAATTTTAAATTTAGCGCGATAACTTACATTGGAAATCAAAATTATTCTATTAATATTATTAATTTAAAATAATTTCCAATTTAAAGAATATATTTTGATTATAAAAATTATAATATATATATAAAATATTATATATATCTAAATTTATAATCATTTTTTTTAAATAAAATTTTAATACAATGTGTATTTGTAACAAGTGGTAAATCGCCATTTTGTACGTGAGATGTTGAATGAAGTTTCATTGATGTATGTACGGATTTCGAACGAATGAAACGGACATGTGATTGGTTTTTGTGAAAATTATAATAAAACGAGAGAAGCGGGACTTAAGAAAGCCGCGAAATATAATTTTTTTAGAGACTTACTGTGATTTCTTATATCAAATCTTCAAAGAGGAAGGCAGTGCCAATCCAATCACGCTTATCACCATCGATATATTTCTGATTATTTCAAGAGTAAAAAAGATTATGTTGTGAAACGTAAAATATTAACAATTGTGCAAGTCTGAAATTATATCTGAATAAATACTAAATATTCGAAAGACAACACTGGATCCTTCGATAGGATCAAGATAACGGAACGCTACTACAGGGGTAATATTGGTTGCGTGCACATACTACTAGCTCAACGATTGCGTCACTTCCGGGAGTTGAAAGCTCAAAACTTCTAATTGATAAACTACGTGATTCATACCTATCATAGACTGAAAAAGTTCAGGTAGGTTATGACGTTGGTCATAAAATATTAGCCAAGTTGGTTTTACGTTATGCACGCGTGTTTATTAAAATAAACCAATGTAACGTGCTTGCCATAAAAAATTAATATTTATTTCGAATTAAACAGCACTAGTTTGTTACACGTTTATTGTGTCAGAAAAATTGCAACTTCTTGTGCAACATGACAAGTAATATTTTTTAATTTTTTCATATAAAATGGGGTAAATTATAATAGTATATAAAATTGTTACATGGATATAAATACCTCAACTATAAAATATAGAATTTTTATTTTATTATTATAATTGAAATTATTAAATTATATAGTGAATTAATATTGAAATAATAATATAATTTTTTATATAACCAACCTCATGGCCTGCCAAAAGTTCATAAATCAGTGTACAATAACATAAAAATGCATGCGGAAAATATTTCTGTATAGTAATTTATATGGTATTAATTAATTATCCTGGATATTTAATATATATCGCGTTTTAAATTATAATGAAATTGCGATCGATTTTAAATTTGTTAAAATCTTATTGAGATTAAGAAAATCTATTGACTTTACGTAAAAAGCAGTTTTTATAACAAATTATCAAAAATAGGTTCATTATTGTAATGCACTTTGAAAAATTGATATTATTAATTTATTATGGTTATTATACGGAAAAAAACTTATTTTGTAAAATATTAAACAAATAAAACGTCCATAAAATAATTTTAACGGTATTGCAAAATTTCGTATTAACCTATAAATTACGACAATCTAATGTCATAAACATATATATAAAAGTACTGAAGAATTTCTGAAGTTGGTTTTTCATCTACTGCATAATTCTAAAGCAGTGCCGTGAAGTTGGATACGTATCAATCAATTTAAAAAAAGAAGATACTATTTCCGGAATTCAAAATGGAACTTTTGCACAAAATGCAAAATACATAAAATAAACAAAAAGTAATTTATAGAAGAGACAATTAAATATTTATGAAATAAAGTAGCAACATTATAAAATTATTTATTTAATAATTAATATGTGAATGTTTTACTGTGAAAAGTTCTATTGGTATGAATTTGGAGGGGAATTTCCGGTTAGCGTAGTGACGTGAAGTTCTCAACGTGTTGCTGTTGTGCATGCCTTGTGTGCTCGCCGCCACCATCGCGACCGCCGTGAAGTGCGCATCATTAGTACCGTGTTGTGTGTACATATAAATGGCGGCTGACGAAAAATGGTACTTTACGAAAGAACAGCTTACAAACACGCCGAGCAGAAGATGCGGCATCGACGCGGATAAGGAACTAAGCTACCGGCAGCAGGCAGCGAATTTCATTCAGGATATGGGACAGCGGCTTGTGGTGTATCCTTTTAAAAGTGCATGTTTAGTTGCGTGTTTCTCAACCTCCCTTACCCCCTATCCCCATAATCATTTTCTGTTCATTTTTCTCCTATTCATTTAAATTATTTTAAATGAATACATATAATTATGTGATTTTATTCTCTTCATACTGATCTTTTAATATTTCATATTTCGAGAGGAACATAAAATTTATAACGTGTTGTAAACATGAGTGACGTGCAAAAGAAGAGGTCACGCGTCATGATTACGATTCTCCATATTGAACTTCTTATTGTTAGCTTTAATATACAATGAATTTCGGAATTTTTGTGCTATTCAATATTTTTATATTGATCATAAAATAATGTGAATGAATTAAAATGACCATCAGAATTTTTTGATGAAGAAGGAGAACAAAGAATAGGGTCAAGAAAAGAGCATTGTTTGTTAAGCTAAATTTGACAGTATTACCAACCAAAGCTACAATCTCTACTTATATTTTTTATGCAAGTATATTTTATTTTTTATATCTTTTTTTATATACATACATATATTTATCTTAATTTTTATATACATACATATATATACATGTATGTATATGCAAATAATGTTTATGATCAGATCAGAACTAATGCAAATTTGTCAATATTGAATTATATTGCCAATATTTTTATAAATTAATAAACATATAAATAGTATTTTAAAGTAAAATATTTAATATATTGAATTATTATTTAATTATAAAATTTATATTATTTTTTATATTAAACTTGTTCTAATTAGACTATGCAAATATATAATAATACTTTTTATTTCAGAAGTATATTATAAAATATTTTTATAAATATAATATGTAGAAACTTTTATATTTTCTATAATATTTTTATGTTTCAGATATATATTTGAAAGTTATAAATGTCTTAATTATCTTTCCAGTTGTGAGAACTTCAACATAGTCTTCAATTTTATTTTAAATTAAAAATTTATAAATATGAGAGACTAATGAAATATTAATTTTAAAAATAATTATATTAATAAACTATTTTTATATTATATATAATATTTATATTATATAAAATACATAATATATAGTGTAATATTTATTTTTGTATTCTAAGTTTTTTTGTATTATAACTTACTTTGAATTTTTAATTGATATATTCTTCTTTTAATAGAATAATAAATATTATAAGATATGAAAATTAATAATATAATAAAAAGTATAAATGAAGATCATGATAAATAAAGTATCAAATCAAATTTAGAAATTGATGTTTTAAAATTGTGATTTTCTTATTAAGTTTTTCATATTAATGTAATAAGCAAATTAAATAAAATTTTTTACATATAATCTATTGTAGCCTCTATTTTTTAATCTTACCATTTAATTTAATTATTTAAAAGGAAATAATTAAATTGTTGCATGTTCTAATCATGTTTATTGTTTTAATAATTTTTACTTAATTTACTTAAATTAATTATAATATGAAAATTAAAATATTGGATAGTAGATAATTATATAAATTTATATATATATATACACGTATATATATATATATATGTATATATATATTGGAATATTAATCATATATATGATTAATACTTCAATGAAAAAATATTTAAAATAATACATACATATTATTTTTACTATTCTATTTATTTATACATTATTATAACATTAAATAATTTGAATTTTTTAATTGTATGAAATAATTATATAATTATATTGAAATATAATTGAAGAAATGCATTAAAGAAAAAATGATAATTCTTAAAGTAAATCTATATTGAATAGCACAAAAATTTTTAAACTTTTATAATTAAAAGAAATCACTATATATTATTATTATTATTATGCAATTAATAATATATTAAATACATTGTTTTATTAAATATATTTTCCTTTATTAGATAAATATAGGTCACAATTATGTATCAACACAGCAATAGTATATATGCACAGGTTTTATGTATTCCACTCGCTGTCACATTTCCACAGGAATGCAATTGCAGCAGCAGCATTATTTTTGGCAGCAAAAGTCGAAGAACAACCACGCAAGTTAGAACATGTTATCAAAACAGCTCACATGTGTCTCCACAGAGATCAGCCCTCACCTGATGTCAGATCTGAAGTAAATATAAGAAATTAAACTTAATATTAACATATTTATAATAAATATAAGTATTAAATTATTTATTTTATTCATAGCAATATCTTGAGCAAGCTCAAGACCTGGTTTTCAATGAAAATGTTCTACTACAAACATTGGGGTTTGATGTCGCCATTGATCATCCCCACACACATGTTGTTAGATGTTGTCAACTGGTTAAAGGTATTTAAATTATGTTCGGAAATTTATATAATATTACATTTTTTAGATTTTAGTTTTTTATATTTTATGTGAAAATTTTATTATAATAATAAGTTTAAATAATTCAATAAATTATTATATTACTAATAACTATTAGATCTTCAAATATAATTGATAAAAACTTTTATTCAGTTATTTTAACTCTTTTTACAGCGAGCAAGGACTTAGCCCAGACTTCATACTTCATGGCATCTAACAGGTGGCTACACATTATTTCCTAGTATCTCTTACTCTTAGCAGTCTTCTGGTCAAATAGATGCCAGCTGGAGCATATTTCCAAACTAAGACTGTCAGGCAATAGCCACTGGCGCAACATTCTGACCTATTTTCTTTTTAGAAAGCAAAGTAAACGTGAAATAAAGTTATATTTATTAATATTTATTATATTTTTTATAAATATAAAAATATGTCAATAGACATTCTTTCTTTCAAAAAAAAGTAAATTTAATTATTAATTTTAAAGTATGAATATAAAAATTTAGTATACAAAAGTTTACTTTGATTTCATATTTTATTCTAAATTCTAATGCGAATGTTTAAATGTCAACAGTAACTTTTGGGGAGGAATGTTGCGTTGCAGTCGCGGTAATGTCTGATTCTAAAGAGAACGTATGCCAAAGCGAAACGAAGTTTATTTCGTAAACTAAGTTCACGATGAGGATTGCTTAATCGAAGGTAAATGAAATATTCTTAAGGACTGATCGTTTTCTCTTACATTACGGTATATTGTCCAATTTTTATTTTTATATTTACATACACATATTTTTAAGCTGTAGATGCACAAAACAAATAAAGAATGAATGAAATGAATGTGAAAGTAGTGTAATGATGAGTGAATGTCCAAAAACATTTAATAATACAAAAAAGAATAAATAACCATACTATTAGAATATATTTTATATTAGTAATCCATTATGGTATGGTATGCAGTCTAATTATAATCTGTTCAAATATTATTCAATGAATAATATTTAAATAGATCATAATGTGACTAAAGTATTAGTGTAGATTAAGCCCTAATTTATTTTTGTTGTTACAAAAAATTGAAATTATTTTTTTTTTAACATTTTTATATATTGCATATTATATCATATTTAATATATATATATTTTTTATCAAGAAATAATTTTTAATGAAAATACATTAAATTTATAAACTGTTTTATATTTATTTTAAATATATTTTCTGTTTAAAAAAAATTTAATAACTGAAAATTTATTTCCATATCGAATATTTTATATACAATTTAATATTAACTAAAATATTCTACTGAACTAAAATAATTTTTATCATTATGAATTATGGGATTATGTTAGAGCAAACTTTGGTAAATTTGTTATGATATAACAGAATATCTTAGGGCTTACATTTATATTATCATGTAGAAAAATATTGCATAAATATTTATTTAGATAATAATATCTATATAGAAATTTTTGTATAGCTCATCAAGTATTCGGATATATTGAAAGTATTACATTCAGATATACTCTTT